CCTTCCTTCCTTCCTTCCTTCCTTCCTTCCTTCCTTCCTTCCTTCCTCCTCACTTACTGCCTTGCTTAGCTGTGGAATCTCTAGTCCCGCTTGTTGGTCATAACTCGAGGACTACCTGTACTATGAAGGCATTCTATCTGGGGCTGACCTGGGAGGCAGTTTAGAAATTCTGGAATTGAGTTTTTTGGATTAGTGGAACCACATCATGTCGACTGATGGTTTGCAAGCACGGTCCTCTCCACCGGGTAGGTGGACATTTTTAACCTTGCAAAGCCTCCATTTTGGAGGAAACTGTGTTAGGGGTTTGTGAAAAGAGGGGAATCTTTACTTTGGGGTGGGTCTCTTCTGATCTAGCGCTGAGTCCTTTTGTTCTTCTTTTTGTCCAACCTTTTCAATTTTTATTTTTGTGTCAGGTTAATGGCTTCTTCCTCTGTGTTCTTGATGATGCCTTATTGATTTCTTTCATCTTCAGTTGTTAGCGGTGGGTTAGTTTCCATTTTTCATAAGAGCCAGCTTGGGATGGAGGCTTCTTACTGAGGATATAAAAAAAAAAACTCTTTTAAGCACAGGAAGATTTCAGTGTTCATTACGTTACATGCAACTGTAAATATTTACACAGGTGGCCCTCAACTCCCGACCAAAGTTGAGCCCAACATTTATGTTGTTAACACGAGACATTTGTTAGGCGGGTTTTGCCCCATTTTACGACCTTTCTTGCTGCAGTCATTAAGTGGATTACTGCAGTTGATAAGTTAGTCACTGGGTTGTTAATTGAATCGAGCTTCCCCATTGACGTTGCTCGTCAGACGGTAACCAAAGCGGGATCAAGTGACCTTGGGACGTAAGTATGAACCTGCTGGCAAGCATCTGAATTTTGATCGTGTGACGGGGAGGCCACAGGTCATAAGTGTGGAAAAAAAAATCCCTTCTTTCAATGCCATTGTAGCCTTGGTCACTAAATGAACTGTTGTAAGTCGAGGCAAGTTGTTGATCTGGGGAAATCATAGAAGAGCCTCCCCTTTTCTCCCCTAGTTTCTGTGTGGCACTGAATATCTTGGTATTAATGATTTGGAGCATGCAGATAATCAAAGCCGCAGTCCTTTTGTTAATTCGAAATTTAGCACGGTATTTAGTGGAATCAATAATTGGTACAGGCGGGTGGGTGCAGCCTCCCCCAACTGAAGTTGCAGCCCTAACCCCTATTAAAAATAACAACAGCTTTATCTTGTCAGTTGTGGTGCCAAACAGTGCTTGTTTTAATTTCATTTTGGAGGAAAATCTGTTTGGGCAATTTCTGTGAGGTTTTAAGATAAAACCCTGCTGATAAAACTACTGCTGTCAATATCAACCCAGCATAGTTAGCTACAAATAATTAGGATTTAATGTCAGGGGCTTAACAGCAGTTAACTGGGTAAGTTTAAATAATTAGCATCACTTTCCTCAATTGGTTCACTGATTCAAAGATACTGGGTAGTATCCTTTGATTAACTTAGTCCTTTCTCTCTCTCTCTCTTTCTTTTTTTAAATTTATTGTACAAAAAGAGTCATTTCTTGATCTTTTCTGATGGTAGCAAAAAAAAACCCCAAACCTTTAATTTAATTTGTGTTAAATTGTGGGAAGTACAATAGCACTGTTGAAAAAAGCTTGCTGGGTAAAAAAAATACAGCTCTGATGCCAAGAAAATATTTTCCAGGTTGACTTGGTCTTGGTTTGGTTCGTTGCAAGCGACCGTTGAAGTTTGTTTCTCTCCCGTTTAGCTGTTTGGCTATAAAAATGGCCTTTCTGTTCAAAAGAGGTGGAAGACCAAATAATTTGGTCAGGCCATGTGACTGATTCATGAATGTGTATCTGAATATGCTTTCCAGACCTCTGACGGTAGAAATTGTTGGCAAAGCACTCATTCATTCATTAGATTTGTAATGCCCTGGTAAGCTTGGAATATTATTGCCTCTAGTTTTGGTCACCATGATATTAAAAAAAAGAGGTTGAGACTCTGGAAAGAGTGCAGAGAAGAACAGCCAGCATGATGAGGGGACTGGAGACTAAAACATACGACGAACGGTTGCAGGAACTGGGCCTGGCTAGTCCAGTGAAGAGAAGGACCAGGGGAGACAGGAGAGCATCTTCCAATATTTGAGAGAGGAGGGGGTCAAGCTATTCTCCAAGGCACCCAAAGGGCAGACAAGGAATAATGGATGGAAACTGATCCAGGAGAGATTCAACCTGGAAATAAGGAGAAATTTTCTGGCAGGGAGAACAATTCACCAGTGGAACTGCTTGCCACCAGAAATCGTGGGTGCTCCATCACTGGAGGTTTTAAAGAAGAGACTGGACAACCATTTGTCTGAAATGGTATCGGGTTTCCTGCTTGAGCAGGGGATCGGACTAGGTGACCTCCAAACTATACTTTGTGGTGCTGCGTATAGAAAAAGTTACAAGACGGAGAAAAAGAATCTCTCGCACCTTCTCAGAATTAGGCAGCAACTAATTGTAATTAGAACCTGTTTGGTCCTAATTCTCATTTCTGGAAGAGCCGGCTTGAGACAGTTCAAAAGAAACCCTTAGCTAACTTGTCCCAAAGTTGCTTTTTCAGTCTGACCGACTGGCTCAGAACCGATGAAGCTTCTTGGGTGAGAAGCAGAACGTCTTCAAGGAAAAACTAAGCTGCCTTTTGAAGAAAACACTTTTGAGACAACCGTGGCCCGGATGGCTTGAGAATCTCCGTAGACTCTTTAACTACCTTGAATTATAACAGGACAGGAAGAACTTCCCCGCAACACTGCCCTATGCTCCTTTCATCGTGCCATCTCTCCCGAGGGTGGGGCGAGGGGGTGTTTAGCTTCTTGAAAAAAAACTCCAGGATCCTGGATAGAGGCTAGACTTAAGATCATCCAGGCATCATCTTAATTGGATTTTCACCAACGGCTAACGGGAGACTACGAAGCATTAGCGACGATCCAGCAATCCAGAACTTCAGAGATGCTTCTGGATGTAGACACGGGATTGTAGACATAGGGCTCAGACTGGGTTAGCTTCTGTAAAAAAAATAAAAATATTAAAGCTGTTTATTAAATCACTTAGGGTTGCATCCTACTTCTAATATCGAGACCTTCCGAATGCTTTCCTTCCTGTTTTTCTCCTCCCGTCACGTAGCTCCAGATAATGGAGAACCCGGATGGTAGTTGGCTCCAAACTTGAAGCAGAACCTTGTCTGAACAGCTAGTGCTGGAAGAAGAGCTTGTAATTTTGCAAATATTATCTTTTTTGCCACGGTGGACATTTGCCAGGGTCAGATCAGCTTTGGAAAGGGTCTTTTTTTTTTGCTAACTCTGCTAGGATCCCGGGGAACGAAGGGGAAGAACTTGGTGGGCGAAATTAAAACAGCAGTTACAACTCTGTAAGCTGTGAAGGATCCTTGGGAGTTTGAGGGTCTGGGAATACACAGAAAAATGGGATTTTTGCCATCAAAAGTCCTGCAGCATTTCGCACACTTTTGTGCAATTCTTTTTTTTTTTTTTTTAGCAGTTTGAGAGGTGGTGCTATAGCTGGGGAAAACAGCTGGAATAAATCCAGCCAACTGGGATTTCTTCCACAGGCTGTTGTTTCTGAAAGACAGGATGTTTTATATATATATATATATACAGTGACCATATTTTCTTGGGGGAGTAGGGGAAGGATAAACCTGAAAAGGGGGCAAATCTAAAAGTGGTTCATCGGAATAAAAGAACTGAATTACATTTGTAGATTTTAAGTTTTTCTTAGATTCACTTTTGAATAGAAAAAGAATTGGAACAGAACAGAATAGAATTCTTTATTGGTCAGGTGTGATTGGACACACAAGGAGAGCTGCATTGGAGACAAATTTCTTGTGTGTCCAATCACACTTAGCCAATAAAGAGTTCTGTTCTGTTCTGTATTCTATTCTATATCCTATTCTGTTCTGCCTTCTGTTCTGTTCTATTCTATTTCTCAAAGGAAAATTCAAGAGCGAACCCCAGAAAAACATACAGAAATATTTAAAATCAATAACAGGCGAAGTAGTATTTCTACTACTTTGTTTTCTGTATTTTCGGATCTGGGCGGAGACCTCTTTGATCCAGATTTTTTTTTCTTTTTTTTTAAAGTTGTTGCTAATTTTAATCATGAATTCCGCTTGAGATGAATCAGCAGTAATTATTTTATTTTGCTTTGTTTAATCAGTTCCCATCCCAGAGTTATTGTTGAATAGAGGAACCAGCCCGCAGTGAAATGCACAATTATTTTCTCCTTTGCAGTCTTTGAAAAGTAATAATAACGGGAATAATAGAGAGGAGTGCATAGTTTACAAATGTTGTATAATTCAGTATTATGGGTAGTCTTCGACTTAACAACCATTCATTTAGTGACCGCTCAAAGTCACAACAGGACTGAAAAAGTGACTTATGACCGTTTTTCACCTTTACGACTGTCACAACCTCCCCATAGTCACGGGATCAAAATCCAGACGCTTGGCAACTGACTCATATTTACGACGGTGGCAGTGTCCCGGGGTCCTGTGATCCCCTTTCGCGACCTTCTGACAAGCGGAGTCGATGGGGAAGCCAGATTCACTTAAACGATGATGTTACTCACTTAACAGCTTCAGTGATTCACTTAAAAGCTGTGGCCAGAAAAGTCGTAAAATGGGGCAAAGCTCACTTAACGAATGCCTCGCTAAGCAACCAAAATTTTGGCCTCTACTGTAGGCGTAAGTCGAGGACTACCTGTACTCAGCCCAAGATTTTGGGAGGATGTGCGTGCATGTCAGTATAAATATTTAATTTGCTATATATTCCGTTAGATGACCAAAAGATTAGCTGAGTCACACTTCTTTTTTATTTATTTTGTAGGTTTTTAAGCTTTTAAGGAGTGTCGAAGCTGCGCACCTCTAGCCTGGGAAGATGAGTGAGCTCGATCAGTTACGCCAGGAGGCCGAACAACTAAAAAACCAAATCCGAGTACGTATTCACTTCCGTTTCCTCTCTTTCTTCAGTGAAATATTCCCTGAGATCTTCTTTGGTTTATAGAATTTTCAAAGATTTGGGCTTTTGAGGGCGGGGGTAAAAGTACCTAAATGGACTTGCGGTAGATGTTTTCATTAAAATGAAAAACCATTAAAATGAAAGAATTGTACGGAATGAAAGACACGGTTGGGCTAAGATAACGACCACATTGAAATGGCCTTGAAATTGGTTTTCCTACTCTAAAAGTCCATTTTTCAGCATCTCTTAGGCCCCACGGACGTATTTAAGCCACCAAGGACAATTTGGCAGTGATTGTAGGAAGCACAGAATGACCACCCCAAGAATATGAAACGGTATAGAGTTGCCTGCCTAAGCAGGGACTAGAACAGGGGTCGGCAACCGACGGCTCTGGAGCTGCATGTGGCTCTTTTGTCCCTCTGCTGCAGCTTCCTGTCACCGGTCGGCTCCACAATTGATAGGGCTTTCGGTTGGGGCAGGGAGAGCAAAAAGGCCGCCACGCTAGGAGGAGACTCTACGGTGGGGGAACCAGACTGCCGGTCGGCTCCAGAAATCAAATGAGGAGCTTCCGGTTAGGACCTTTGTGGCTCTTTGAGTATTTAAGGTTGCCGACCCCTGGACTAGAAGACCTCCAAGGCCCCTTCCAACTCTGTTACTCTACTCTACTCTACTCTACTCTACCCTACTCTACTCTATTCTACTCTACTCCTAATTTATTCTATTCTATTTTCTATTCTATTCTATTCCTAATTTATTCTATTCTATTCTTCATTCCAATGTTTTATTCTGTTCTGTTCTATTCTATTCCTAATTTATTCTACTCTACTCTACTCTACTCTACTCTACTCTACTCTACTCTACATTTATTCTATTCTATTTTCTATTCTATTCTATTCCTAATTTATTCTACTCTACTCTACTCCTAATTTATTCTATTCTATTTTCTGTTCTATTCTATTCCTAATTTATTCTACTCTACTCTACTCTACTCCTAATTTATTCTATTCTTCATTCATATTTTCTATTCTATTCTATTCCTAATTTATTCTATTCTTCATTCCAATGTTTTATTCTGTTCTATTCTATTCCTAATTTATTCTACTCTACTCTACTCTACTCTACTCTACTCTACTCTACTCTACTC